GGTTGGAAATCTTGTCCTTTCTGTTTTAGATGAAAAGGGAGGCTCTTCTGCAGCACAGCATGTGTCGGCTCCTCTCCCTTCGGGTACCACTGGGCGCCTCATCCCGGTGCCTCTGCCCAAGATGCAGCCCCAGGATGGTTTTTGGCTGCCAAGGCACCTGTGTCTCCCCGCCGGCCTCCGCTAGCCCTCTGCTACTTGGCACCTCGGGGTGTCATGGCCTGGCGCCCTGTGTGAGGTTGCCTGTGGGCAGGGGCGGCACTTCCTTGGCACATGCGAGGTTGGCGTGCGCCTGCGTCCTGCCCCTTCGGGAGAACAGCACTCGAAACGGGGTCAGCTCCCTGCTCTCCTGGGGCTGCCCTCCGAGGGGAGTAACACAGAGAGACATTCAGCATCTCTTGCAGGCAATCGTCGGAGTAGCAAAACATCAGTCTGCCCGAATTTTTTTGGAGGGGTGGAGGGTGATGGAGGCTGGGATGCACAAACTGGGGTTTTCCCATCCTGCACACGCTGCTGGGTTTAGACTGATGACTTTTTGCTGTGCTCCCTTTTAAATGCTGCAGTGCTCCACAAAGAAGTGAGATTTTTTTTTTTCTTTTTGCTGTCCAAATCCAAATTTTGCAGACTGGGCCATCTGTCAATTCCCTCCTACGTTGTTCTGTTCATATTAAATTGTAATGAAGGCCAGACTGAAGAAGGAATTAGGTCAGACAGGAGGTTTAGTCTCTGTTTTTGGGGAGATGTTTGTTGCCCAAGAGAGGCACCATGGTTTGGTTGGCTCAGCACAAGCCTGAATGCAAGGGATGCCTGAGCTGTCCTCTGAGATTTGGCAACAGGGCCTTGTAGCATTGTGGCCTCTTGGTCCCCGACTCCCTAGAACTGGACAGAAATCATCGATCCAACTGATTCTGCAGCAAATCCTGAAAACATCCTTTAACGGCCTTGGGCGTGAGAGTGGCTCCACTGCAAACCTGCCCTCAGGCTCTCCCCCGGCACACCGCAGCTGCTCCGAGAGGGCCCTCTCTGTTGGCATGTCCCTGCTAGCTGGGGGCTGCTGAGAGGGTTTTGGGGGTTCCCAGCCATGGGTGCAGCAGCCTGTGCTGCGAGGGGGTAATGCGCAGGAGTCCCAAGGCAGCCAGGAGCACCCTGCGTGCAGCAGCTTGTGGCTGAGCTGGCTCCAGCAGCAGCCTGGCTTCACGTGGGGACCTGAGGATGCGGGGGAAGGCAGGAGAGGGACATGAAGGATGGAGAGCAAAGCAGACCCTTTCAAGGCAAGGAGAGGCCAGTATCATGCTCTCATGGCTTGTCTGAGCCTCTCCCGTGCCGAGAAGGCTGCTCTCAGGTGCGATTCCCAGGATGATACAGGGCAGCTGTGCAACTAAGAAATTCCTCTTGCATCACCCTCTTGCATGCCACGTGGGGTCCAAGCCCTCATTAGGAGGAATTCGGCACTCAGGTTGTTGGGCACCCGGCATGTCTCGCACTGCTGTTCCCACCACCCCTGGTTAAAACCGCATCCTGAAGTGTTTGAGCTCTCTGCAGGCACGTGAGGGGGAATGGCAGCCAGCATGGCTGATTCAACCTGCTTTGGCAAGAATGAAACTTTGGTAGGCGTAGCCTCTCTCCTAGCGGAGACGGGACCTTGTCTGCTAGGAAAGCACCCCACTTACCTCTCGCTGCCTTATTTCTATTACATCTCGTGTGAGAGAGGCCTTCTAATAAAAACTGAAGTTTTTCCCAGCTGTCGGTGTGAATTTACTCCTGTCCCACAGCTGAGGGGGCTGTCCCTGTCCTAATGTTTGGACTAGAAACCAAAAGCAGTGCTGTCCCATGTTTCCAGTGGAGAATGAAGGCTCGGA